TGCTAACGTTTAAATTGCACAGATAGGACATAGTATGTCGTCCTATCTACATGTTACGTATTACGTAACATGCTTATAATTCCTGCAAAGTTCTACAAAATTTGATTTTAGCTACAAATGGGACATAGTACCTTTAATGCCGAGATGGCTATATATCATTCTTTCATCTTAGCATGTAAGCCTAGCTCAATTTGTATTGCTAAAAGAAATTTCAAGGTGACGTATTATATATGCTCACAATCAGTGATGATGCGATTTTCATGGAAGCCTCTAGAATAATTGTCCTATTTGTAAAGCCTTTGCTTTCACAATCAAAAGCTTTGCTATCACTGTCTATTCTTTATATTACGCAGGCATGAACTCTAATTTGACACTCCCATAAAGCCTTGAGTCGAGCCTAGCATATCATTATAGGTCTTCTAAAAGGATAGTCCCTCCTGAGCCATGAATTTCTGAAATATTTTAATTTTAGTCATTTTATATTTTGGAACATATGTGAAAGAAGTCCGGCACTACATCACCTTGACATTACTGCTTTAGCCAATTTGAAGTGCCCATGCGTATAGAGATTACGACTTTCAAAAATGCATACCTTTCTTAAATTTTGTCAGAATTAATACAAACTTTCATCAGTTTGCTTCAGTTTTCTATTTGGGTTGGGTTTCCCTGTAATGGTGTGCAGTATATAGAAGAAGAAACAAAAGAGAAAGAAGAAGACTTTTGAAAGTAAAACTTTATTTACAATACATATAATAATTAAAACAGATAAAAAAAATAACAGTGATGAAGAAGAAGAAGAAGGAGGAGGAAGAGGAGTAGAAGAATACAAAGACGAAGAAGAAGAAGAAGAAGAAGGAGGAGGAGGAGGAGGAGGAGGAGTAGAAGAAGAAGAAGAAGAAAAAGAAGAAGAAGAAGAAGAAGAAGAAGAAAAAAAGAAGAAGAAGAAGAAGAAGAAGAAGAAGAAGAAGAAGAAGAAGAAGAAGAAGAAAAAGAAAAAGAAGAAGAAAAAGAAGAAGAAGAAGAAGAAGAAGAAGAAGAAGAAGAAGAAGAAGAAAAGACAAAGAAAAAGAAAAAGAAAAAGAAGAAGAAGAAGAAGAAGAAGAGGAGGAGGAGGAGGAGAAAGGAGAATAATTATTTTAACGATAAAAAGGCATGCCAGTCTGCATAGTCACTCCGTGTATACATTTTTGTTTTGCGCACCGACTCGATCACAAGGTTTTTGTCCCCGTGCATCTATTCTTCAAAATGTCGAGCTATATGATGACTGTTGCTTTTCTTTTTCTCAGGGAAACCGTACCGTGTCTAATCCCGGCTCAGACGTTATTGGATATACAGACAACTTAGGATCGAGACACAATGTATCGTCGATGAGGTTGGCTTGATTTGCGAAAATAAGGCGTTTGTTTGAGGAAACTTTTGTTTTGTTTATAGTAGCCTAGCTGATGAAGCTAAAGGAGGACATGGGGTTCGTGGCCCAATGGAATGAAGAAACGAGATAAATAATAGTGCCCACAGTTGTGTAGGAACGTGAGGACGGGGTCACATGCCCTCATGGAATTACAAAAACACGAGACTTGATAGTACCCATTGCATAGGAACGTGGGGCCAGGGCACGTGTCCTCATGGAATGGCAAAAGTGAAGCAGGACCAAGGGCGTATCCTGGATTTTTTAAGGGGATGTGTTTTTTATGCCCAATTCGTAAGAAAATCTTTAGCGGTGAATCAACCAGCCGGTGAATAAGCGGGGGGGGGGGGGGGGGGGGGGGGGGGGGGGTGGAGTGATTGAACACCCAAAACACCCCCCCCCCCCCCTCGATACGCTAATGAGCAGGACAGCAGCCAGTTGTATAGGTATGGGGGTCAGGTGCACGTGTCCTCACGGAATTGAAAAAAAGTGGGGCGGTAAGAAAACAATGAGATAAGAGAAGTGTAAACTGGGAGATGGAGACTAGAAGATGCTAGGACCCCCTCCTTCACGGTTCCCTAATCGGTCGCATTGATGCGAATTTCTTCCACGGGGGTAATACCACCCCCCCCCCCCCTTCTCCCCCCCCCCCCCCCGCCCCCATGATACAAGTGCCCCCTCGAGGGTTGGATCCACGCTACGTCACTGAGTGTAGCCCCTAACACTACCGGTCCTTATGCACAAAATTGGCCCAGTATCAGTTTTAGAGTGGGGATTTGGTGCTCTAGATATAGCGCCCCAATATTTCTGCAAGCCCCTTCCAATATGCTCTTTATTCTATATAAAGCTAAGCGAATCACATATTGGAAATTGGTGCAAGAACCCCCACGTTTCCTAGGCCTGTAAATGTATTTGAATATCTCGTCATGCAGGTTGTTGATCATGGATGTTATGAGTTATAACTGAGAAGACGAAAAAGAGGTCGATAAAATAAATAGGGCACCATCTCCGAGGGAACAACAACTTGTAAATCGTTGAATTAAAGATGAGAAAAGTGCCCCCGCTAACTGGCTAGATCGAAATGGCGCCTTACATCATCCATCTTCACGCAACGTTTTGACTAGGCCGACAAATTATATATGAATATCGGCAGGAAATGTCTAGATGTTATCTTACATGATTAAAACAAATTGCGGGTTGAGACAAGAGAGGGGCTGATCAAATAGAAGGCCTCCTCCGAGCGAATAACAAGTTGTTTTCCTTTTATTGAAGATGGTAGGAAAGATAGATGGTATAGGAAAGAAGTCATAGATGTGTAGGCCTAAGCAGCTTTTGGATCGTATACACTGACAAACTGAATAATAGATAATAGTATACATTCTCAGATTTTATTGAATAATACTTCGCGAGCGTTGGTTTCGCGTGACTGCTAAAGCATATGTGTGTTACTATGCTTAACAACTAGGGGACCTACGTCCTTAAGTCATAACTGCCAAAATTGAGGATTATTGCCTCACAAAAGGGCACTAATAAAACACATCGACACGATTTTTTTTCTTTAAAAAATCCTGGATTTAGCTCATGCTGCAATCATAATCATCAACCCTTTAGGTCATTCCTGTGTCATGACTTTTACAACTAATCGCCTGTCTGATTTTTAAGATATCTATGATTGGAATTAGAAATGTCAGAATTCGTTTTCCTAACGTCTATTGGGGGAAATGAGTATGGTAATTAAACCGGTCACTCAAAGATTTTTACTTTTGTGAGGCACGTCATGATCATTTTGAATGCAATTTGTTTAGGGCTTCAATATTACATCATATCACAGACACTGATAACACGTAGGGCCATGCATCTCAATTGTATCACTGTTGAACGATGTCTTTTACCAGACTGCCGAGTTTCATGGTCTAATACTCCACAACAGACAGATCATTTCGCCACTGCTGGTACAGGTACTCGAAGTTCCTTTTGTTAAAAAGATCATTCTTTGACCCTAAGAAGTCAATAAATCACTCATTCATTAATGATTACATCATACTTTCATCAACTACCTATATTAAGCTCTATAAACCAACACACACACACACACACACACACACACACAATAGGGGCGTTCACACAAACAGAAATAGTGAGATTTAAAAATAGACTTTTGCGTCGCGATCCAAATCGCACTAATTGTGTGAACGGGCCTAAAGATTGAGTAACACTCTAAAAATGTAACATATATTTATATCCCAGCCAGCCAGGCGCCTGCGATGAGTGATAGATCTTTTCACTGGGGTTGCTGAGGGGTGCCCTGTCACTCCTAAACTGTCCGGGAAAAGATAATAAGAGAGAGAGCGAAAAGAAAAAGTAAAGCAAAAGAAAAGAAAAGAAAAGAAAGGAAAAAGAAAGAAAAGAAAGAGACAAGAAAAAGAAGGGAAAAAGTATATAAATCCTTCCGTTCTTTTTTCCACATTAAAATATAATTACCCGACCTCTACATTATAGCACGGGAAGAAGAAACCTGGAAGACCTCATTTTACCTATACAGACCTACTAAAGAAGGATACGGGACTTCAACTGTCAGAGGTTAAAGCAGCCATGCTGGACAGGAATGTGTGGAAGGCCATCACAGCTCGGGCAGTTGACCCGACTTAAGCAAGTAAGTAAGCACATTATAGCCTTTACAACACATCAAACATTAACCGACAGGAAGAATAATCATAATTAGAGGACCTCTCGTCTCCAGCATCATGTCTCCAGCTCAATAACTTTCGCTAGACTTATTTATCTGACAACCAACATTTGACAGCCCTATACAGATAACAGGGGGCCTTTCACAAAGCCTTTTTTCAATGAAAAATGACAAAATTCAATGACAAATCTGCTGATATTCAATCAGAGGCAAGGATTTCAGTAGCTTATTAAACTGTCATTTGTCACTGTTGACAAGTTTTGTGAAACGCACCCCCCCCCCCCCCCCCCCCCCTCCTGATATACACGTCAGTGGTAACATAAGATACACAAAATACATGTAATTATGACCCTGATGGGGAAAAATAGATTTCCATAGATTTCCCTATATATGTTGGGATTGTGCAGTCTCGGTGTCTCATGGCTAGGCTATGAAATGAAATCACGAAGTGGCCAATTCCAGGTAATGCGTTTGGGTTACATGTATAGGTATTTAGATCAGGTGGGCGGATCAAGGGTATCGTTAAAAGAAAAGAGGAGAAAAAGAAGAAGAAAAGGTGGAGGAGGAAGAAGAAGACAAAGGAAGTTCTGTAGGGGATGAGAAGAATGAGGAAGAGAAGTAGAAAAGAAGAAGACAAGAAGACGAAGAAGAAGAAAAGGGAGAAAACAAAGAAGAAGAAGAGGGAGAAGAAGACAAAAATGAAGAAGAAGAGGGAGAAGAGGACAAAGATGAAGACGAAGAGGGAGAAGAAGATCTCACCATCTCTTTCTCTCTCTCTTTCTTGTGCGTATCTCTCAAGTGGAAATATGTGGAGTAAAGAACAACATTTTTTCACTCCATCTCAAAACCAATATAGGATGAACTTAAAGCAATGGCATCCACAGCAATCAAGCTAAAATAACAACGAAATCGAGTTAAACTAATTGAATTTATTGACAACTTTTTTCATCTTTTCAATGACACTGCAGTCTCTTACATCATATGTAGGACTGCGACACAGTCTTGAGCTTTTTATAGTCTGTCCAGTGATTTGGCCAAAAGAACAACCAATATGTTTAATTTTTCTGAAAACATATCAAACAAATCTACTTTTTTCTTCAATCTTAATTATCAAAGCAGAATCGTGAAAGTGATGTCCAAAAAACAATTTATTTTCAAGAACATTCCGTAAGACGTGATAAATAAAAACAACGCATATAATCTCAAAGAGAAAATTCAGTTATTATTAAGGTACCGGTAAGGCTGATTCTGCAAAGTAAACTATATACTGATAAGCCTATATTATTCAGGTAAACTTAATGAGTTTATTTACATTTTCTTTCATCTTTATAAATCCAATTACTATAACTATTATTATGGTTAAATGGGTTTTGTTTTCTCTATGCATTTGGTGTTTACGCAGGAATGTCTGTCAAGAAACAAAAACATCTAAGGAGCACAGAGTAAGGTAGAAAGAGATGAAGATACAGTTTCAGAAACTTATTCTGCTGGAATACCTCTTTAATAATTTTAGTTTCTAGTCTTATTTTTTTGTTAAACTGCATAAACTGAGAGGACTGATTTTGAGAGGTGGACTGATGCAATACAACAAACACATTCAAGACCATGTTATCTACATGTTTTAAACACATTACTTTCAAGAAATACATACAAAAGAATGATATCATCACACCAACTGTAGTTTTTTTTATAAATGATTACAAAAATGAAGAAAGTGGGGTCTTGTTCAGAGCACATGTCCATCCAAATACAGTATGACTCGAGTGTGAATCAGAGTTTCCTTGGATACTTTTTTTAATGACTTTGTGCACATCACTAAACAACGGTCAATGATTGTTTACATTTGTGTGTGTGTGTACGGGGGTGGGGGGGGGGGCTTGATACAAATACAAATGAAAATACAAATGAAAATAGAAACAATTTAGAGTTTCAGAGGTTACCATGCTCGCACAGAGAGCATATTTATTGGGCATTTCTTTTCAAAGTATTATCAGGTATAGAGAGAAATTATCTTTCAAATTTATCCAGTAATTGCGTTTCGTGATCAAATTTCTCACCGAATCTGTTCATTACTAAGTAGCAAATGATATTGCCACACCCCAAAGTTAAAGGGAATAATAATGCCTAAAAGAAAGACATGAATGTTGGGATATATGATTATCATAAAGCATTTTCTGCAAAAGCTAAATATTTTCAAAGGACAGAATTACTTCACATGAAGATGCTTTCCTTATAATTTTAGTTGGGCACGTCCAAGCTATTTCATTCTTTATAACATTATCCAAAAGCTATAAAGTTAACAATTGAATCCTACTACAGTTTGGATTAGACCGAATATGAAGTGAAATGACGCAGTTGATGTCAATTTAGGTTCAGAACTTCACAATATTACGGGACAAATGACCCCAAAACTCTGGACTTGTCCAGTTAAACCCTTCAGTTGGTGTGATGAATGCACTAACAGTTTAACGTTTCTAAATCAGGTTGTTTTATCCTTCATAGAAACGAGGTAATTCATTGCCCAGGATGGTCTTCCTTTCCACACCATCCTCGGTGATGACGGCGAGACGTACGATGCCGCCGCTGGATCCATCACGGAACATGGCCAGGGATACAGCTGTGAGATGAAGAGCAAAAATAGAGAGAATGTTATGTCCAATCTCTTTTAAAGGGATTGTGTATCTTTGTCTCAGATTCTAAGCGAAATCCTGGACTTAGCTCATGCTGCAATCATAATTATAAACCTTTAGGTCAGTCAGGAATCCCATGACTCTTACAAGCCGATCACCTGTCTGATTATCAAGATATTTATAATTGGAATTCGAAATTTCAAAAACCATTTTCCCAACAATTTTTATTACACTACAGTCTATTCCTCTATTGGGGAAAATGAGTATGGTAAAACCGGTCACTCAAATAATTTTAATTTTTGAGGCACTTTGTGATCATTTTGAAGCTTAATTTTTTTTAGGGCTTTAATATTACACCATATCACAGACATTGATAACACGTAGGTCCATGCATCTCAGATTTGTAAAACTGGAAACATTTTTAAACAATGCTTTTAATGAATACAGATGTCCATAAAACCTTCTTATTGAGAAAGTTGAGTTCTGGTTCAAAAAAATAATCTGTGCGCTTTCTCATTTCTCAAACATCTTCTGAAAAACGATTTCTCTTAAAATACCCTATTATTTTAAACATGACAAGGAATGGCTGAAAAATTTGGACCAAACAAATTTGTGTTGTCCCATATGCCCACTCCTGTGTGCAGTACCTGTGATATTCCGGAAGATCGAGTCAAGTTCTTTTCATTTTGATCATTCAAACACTTCCACAGTACATATATATACCAATTCTCATGTACCACATTACCTACCTTTCCCAATTGCATTCAAACAGTTTCTTTCATGAATATAATTCCAAGATCAGAACTCAAATTTATCTCAAGTATTTCACATGTAGCCAATGGATTGTTTAGACTTTAGAGCAGCAAAATTGTCAAAAGCTTGCAGGAAATTACATACATTGAAAAGCACCATCACACACATCGGAATACAACATTTGCATATCACTTTCGTTCACTCGACACTGAAGACTGACATGGAGCGTATTCATGTCTTCTGAAAGGACCAACTCACCGTTAGACACAAACTGGAGGCATTCATCTTTGCTCATGCCCTCCTTGTAATGGGCATCCACATAGCCATAGATGTAGGTGCTACCTGAGCCTCCGATGGCACATGGTTGTCTTACAAACATACCTCCAAGAGGTACAGAATACACCTGTAATAGATCAAGACAAGAAACAAATACATTTAAAGGTGGTTATGTGTTAAAGTTCAGGCATTCATCTTTGTTCACCCCCTCCTTGTATTAAATGAGCATCCACATTAAAGCCATAGATGTAGTTGCTTCCAGAATCTCTACATATTCAGAATGTGAAATAATCTATCAACTGACTGATTTTCAGACTGTAATTCATACACTAAATAGCTGAAATAATCAAGTAGTTAGACTGGTTCATGTAACGTAATTTAACAGTCAAACCTGGTTTAGCGACCACCTGTCGCCACCCGTCTACAAAGACCACATTTTTTGTTTCCCTTAAAAATGGTCTCTCATTGAAACATGTACTAGAGGAACCTGTACATAAAGACCACTAGTCTTGTCCCCCTTCACGCCCCTTGGGTCTTCTTAATAGACAGGTTTCACTGTATTGGCAACGGTCTCTATCTCTATGACCTTTGACCCCACATGGTATGAAGTTTCAAATCTCGTCTCACCTGGCCTCCCTTCTCCTTGTCCCAGCCTCCTACAATGATACCAGCCAAGAGCGAGTCTCTGTAGTCATAGCAACGGTTCCTGAAGAGGTTGGCAGCCGTGTGTACGAGGGGCGGTTCGTTTTGGTTGATGCTGCGAAGAAAAAATTGCAACATAGAATGATCTAGAATCACTACTAATATATACTAAAACAACAAAATATGATTTATATCACTTACAAACAGCATTCATCTGATTAAACTGCTTATTCCATTATACCACTGGAGTACATGTAGGTGGTACACAGTAGATAGATGTCCAATTTAGTTATGTTCTTTTCCTAAACTATTCATTTTTAACCCAATTTTCACATCCAATGTAAACATCTGTTGTTTATTATGAACTACATCGTTGGATCGGTGTATTGAGCGCTATATAAAAAACCGGATTATTATTATTAAAGTGACATACGGTACCGGTAGCCAAGTGGTTTGTATGCTTAACAGAGTTTAAGTCCTGGTATAGCGCCAACATCCTAGACAAGACTTCTACACTCTCCATCTAGGTGGAGTAATTAGGTACCTGGTAGGATTTATTCCTTTTACATGCATTACGCACTGATAACTACTGCTGGGTAGTATCATCCACTATGAAAGTGCATAGAGAATTAGAGACAATTTAAACATGCAATGTACAACGTAAGCATTATCATTAAAATCAGTATTGGACTCGAGGTGAAGCATGTTGATTACTTGTTGGCAGGGCAGGTCCAAGATATTTTGTCCCATGCATTACCGACCACTTCAAGTACACGTGATGATTGTATCAAGATGATAACCTTACCATAGATGGGTGCAGGCCAGGGGGTGTTTCACAAAGACTAAGATCAATATTAAGTAGGGCTTAACTATGCCAGGCCGTTCATGCCACTGTTTGCTCTCACAATTTACTGGCATTGGTATTTCAAGGTATGTACAAATCATGGTCACAAATCAAAAGAATTTGCCTTTTTTGATAATTCATTGAAAATATTATCTAAAGATCATAATGGTGAAAGGAAACAGTGGCATGAACGGCTGCCATAGTTCAGTCCAATTTAAAGTCGATCTTAGTCTTTGTGAAACACCCCCCAGATATCAAATAAATTAACAGTTTCAATGTATATTACATTGTTAATACCATGATACTTGATGGACTTAAACTTATGGACAGAATCTCCAAATATATGGGGAGATGCCCTGAAGTATACATGTATGTAGCCGCAAAAAAAGATGTGTTACCTGTGGAACTCCAAGAGATAGGAGACAATATCTGCAATAGCCTGGGTGTCAGCTGCAGAACCTGATCGACAGCAGTAGATACGATCACAGACCTTGGTCAGCTTGTCAGTTACACGGTTGGCAACGTAAGACCTGCATGAAAGATAAGGATTAGGATGTCATGTAAAACAATTACGGTAAAGTACTTCACAACAATGCCCTTACATGTATGTCGAAAATCAACATGGAGTAACCTATTTTTAACATTACAACTTGATGAGGGACGATATGTTTTTATTACATCAAAGTCATATCACATGACAATTGAACTACTTTCACAACTACAATTAACTCCATGTTGCACAAGCAGAACTTCCCAAGTCTAATCAATATTTTGGACAAAAAAAGATGCAAATATGTGTTTTGTTATGTTACACTTTCTAAGTTTAATTTTGCATGAGAATTTTTTTTGTTGTTGGTCCCAACAGATTCTACTTATGCAGAGTTACTGTAGGACTTGTAGGTACAAAAATTTAACTTTCATCCCCAATGAGCTTGTGTGAGCTATTCCAGATTAATTATCGCAATCATAATCATAATCATGATCATTATTATTATCATTATTATTATTCTTAAAGTAGATATTTATATAATATTGACTGGCCTTGAGGGGTATATCAGAAATATTGACCAAGCTCAGATCATATTGCCCCGAGTCGAAAGACGAGGGCAATATGGTCTTAGCGCGGTCAATATTTCTGATATCCCCCGAAAGTAAAGCCAGTCAATATTTTTATTGTTATCCAAATCAGACATCTAGAGCAAATACAGACATCCACCATGACAATCTCAAGAACTGAACAAACTTTGTCAAACCAACACTGTGCATCCAGTGCTTGACAACATTTTCGATACACTACAAACAGTGTGTATTTGGTGTGATTATTACGTCACAATAGAGTGCGCGCAAAGTGCGCAGGTTCTCGTACGCATAATATTAATAGATGCGCAATGAAAATGCGAGACCGTGGAAAATACCAAGGTATATTTTCACTCGTCTCTACACGCAATGTCAATACGCGCAGGGAGACCAAGGAAAATACAAAGAATATACCCCTCCGTTCCCACTGCTAGTGAAAAACTAGGGCAATACGGTTTTGTAAATGACCAGCTCAGATGTCTGATACGGGTAATAATCATTGTTATATACCTCACTTAAGAAATCCAGCCATCTGATTGGTCGAATTGCATTCATAAACTTCAACTGTTGCTGTAAAATTCTCGGTAACCATGCATAAAACATTTCAATATTTTTAATAACCATGGTTATTAAAAACAGTTGGTCAGCCTCCATGGTTACCCCATAGGTTTACATGTTAAAAAATGGTTTGAGCGATGGAGGATGCCGTATGTGTGCGAAGGATTGGTCGGTAATTTCAATACAATTGAATCTCGATCGATCTTACCGACAATTTTATCTTGCATTGTTGACATGAAGACGAAAATAAACTTCCAAAAACAAAAAAACAACATCTGCCGATAGATCTTGATCTAAGTTCGTGCCAATATGCATTGCAAAAGTAAAAGAAGAGTCCGTATATGGAGCTTTTGCGAAGCATTCATCACACGCGAAGCCGGTTTCAATCCATTTTAATGTATATATTGGAGAAAACTGCCAAGCATGTTAACGGCGGGCCATAGCCGAGTGGTCTAAGCGTTGGTTTTCGGTACACCTCTTGTTGTACGCAAGGGTTCGAATCCCGTCTTCGACAAATTGATAAATATTTTTAATTTTTCATTTTTTAGTCTATTTTTTTTTGGCATATAAAAGTATTAATGACTGCTTTAATATTCGAGAAATAGTTGTTTTCATACGCTCTCGGGAAGGTTACAATTGGGCTATTCCCCTCGGCAAGCCTCGGGGAATAGCACAATTCTAACCTTCCCTTGAGCGTAATAAAACAACTATTTCTCTCAAAGCAGTCATTAATACTATAATATTAAAAACTAACTTTATTTTCATTATTGCAAAGTTGAAACTTTGATTCAACAAGGTTATTAAAATTCAATGCTTGGAAACATTCGAAGTAATGATTATTATAAATAACAAAACTCTTAAATACAGCCCCGGCATAGCACCTGAAGAGCTCTCTGAACGCTGCTGAGATGTGTGAGATCACAGTATGGACATGATTTGCACAAGCAGACGATGTCCCATGACATCTCACACATTTTCAGTGCCTGTGTTTTCATCTTCTCTTGAGTTCTTTCTCTTACTTCACTACCGTCAGGCTAAATTTATAATCTATTGCCTCACTGTAAACCCCGCGCATGTTTTTATTTTGATGAAAAATGCAGCGATACAAAAATAAAGGAATCTGTCGCTTGTAAGCAACATAAGACGCCATTGTATTTTCAGCTGCATACACCGCGGTATGTTGGGCGTTTCAAGAGGGAACAAATGCCGTCCTTAATATCATTCCAGGGGTTTTTCAATTTGAAAGTCTGGTTTCTTTGATTGTTAATTAACCCCTATCCTGTGTACGGTATTTACAAGCAAAAGATTTTAGTTATCAGAATCGGGTCATATCTCCTTTTGAATGATTTAACATGCCATTACATGTATATACACTAAACTCATTATAATTTGACAAATAATAGCTTCGCAATTATGTTCATTCTTTATGGGATGTCGTCTGCTTGGGCAGTATTGGTCCATATAGTGACGTCATTAAAACATCGTTATTTTTCTGGTGAATCTCTCGTATATCCCAGCTGCTATGTAGGTGTTTGTATTTGTATTTTTATAAATCACCCAATATGTAGTTGACCTAAAACTTGTATGATGGCCATCTGTTGGCTTACCAGTTTCTAGTGATACATTAGTTGGCATATTTGTGAATTTCTTTGAATTTCACCTTTAATTTCTTCTTCTTATTATTGTTATTATCATTATTATTTTTATTGTTACTGTTAATGTTATGTATTTATTGGCATAACACCATGTACAGTGTATGCATTAGGCTTTACATACCCAGTGGTTGTCCTTGAGTCGGCTCCAATTACCACACCGCCATCAAATTCCACTGCCATGATGGTAGTCTGAAAACAATGAAAATGACAAAATTATAAATTCTGAACATTTAAAGTCATGAGGCAGGTTAAAGCTATGGTCACAAATCAGAGCAGCGACCGACCGATCAGTAGCCTGCTCGGTCGCTGCTGGAATTAGGCATCGCCCAGCGATTAGGTCGGTGCCCGGGCGGCGACCGCCCAGGCACCGAGCGTATTTTGGGCCGCGAGTGAAAAATGAGCAGGCGAAATTTTAACTCCGCGCTAAAACTTCAGCGGCGACCGAGCGATGTCCTAAAAACGAGCGTGGCCGGGCAGCCGCCGGGCAGAATACTTTTGGGTAATGTGACCATAGCATAAATGACAACAAGTTAACAGCTGATAATCAACTAGATCTTCTCTTGAACTGCCATAAAATGAGAGGGCTCAAGAAGTTTGTGATCGTCTAGACCGGTTTGTTTCCTAAACTGCTCCAACGCAAGCATGTGTACTGTGTTTGCAGGAAAGAAATGAGTTTTGGAAGTAAAACAGAAATATGAAAAGAGTAAGAAATAGAAGATGACAATCTGGAAATCATAAATATAAAGTAAAAACATGTGTAAATAGGGGGGAGGAAATATCAAGGGACAACATAAGGAAAGACAGAAAGAGAAAGTGGTAAAATGATACAGATAAAGAATAACAATGAAAAGAAGAGAACATGGAAAGAGATAGTCGGAGAACAAAGAGAAGGATAATAATCCTAGAATAATCATGAATGGATAAAATCAAATAAAAACATCAGGAAAGACGGAAAGAGAACATGAAATGTTCAAAACAAAAAATAAATTAAGTGTAAAGAAAGAATAAGATAAAGAATATGATAGAAGGATAAAGAATGAAGAGTACCGTAAAGGAAAAGATAGCAGAGAAGAGGATAGAATTGTAGAAGGAAAAACAAAGAGTAATGTAAGGAAAGTTAGAAAGAGATAGAAGAAGCTAAATTTATCATTAGAAATAAGCAAAGCTCTATCACTCTGGTACTAAAAAATTTCCATATTTTTGGAACATTTTGGTTAAATTCTTTACCAATTTCAAAGTGCTTTGCATGAGAAGCAAGAAGAGAAACCCTTTGACTTTGTAAAAGAATTAATACCCGTTTCTATGGGATGTCTACGAACTTAAATTTTCATGATGATTTCGAGAAACTGGCCCCAGCACGAAGAACTTTAGCTTAACATCTAGCGCATGCGCATTGCATTCATCAGGTCTCAGCCTGATTTTACAAGGGCCCTTGAGATTGGCTATTGGAGTATCGCTGGTTGACATTTGCTCAATGTTATATAAGATATTCAAATTAGTGCGAGGAGAAGGCTTGCGATTTCTGTTTGATCTGATTTTAGTTTTTATTGTTAAACAGTAGGGACTAGGGGCGCTACTCCGAGAATAAGGATTGTCCGCATAAACGAGGATCGTCTTCATAACCGCGGAAAGATGCGTCCGCAAAAATAAGCAGCGTCCGCATTTTCGCAGACGTTTCATATAAATTTCTGATTCTTGTGTTGGGGATGCATTTTACGTGACTTGTGAGCGATAAATCCTTGGGATGACGGACAATAAATGTTGATTAACTAAGGATTAGTAATTTTTATATTATCCTTTTTAATGTTGCCACTATTAGCCTAAAGCTTCGAAAGGGCCCATGCCCATTCATGACTTAAGTGACCGAAAATTACAAGCAAATATTGCACCACTCATTTTTGACAGTCATCCATTGCATGCCATTGCCATCGGCATTAATAAAAAAAAGCAAACACTGTCAAAACAGAATAATTCACATAATTATATTCATATTGTAAAAAGTAAAAGCTAATATAACTTACCCCTGTTAGATGTTCTGATCTTAGCCATTCTGGAATTTGTGAATTTGCCTCACAAAAGGAGGAAACAGTAATTTTCTTCTCACTCATGGGCAGCGCCATTTTGATGCCGAATAGAAAAAGTCTAGTCATCGGCCGCGAAAATATCTCGTCCAGTTTCAATTTCCGAGGATCTGCGCTAAACAATTCGCCCGAAAGAAAAGTCGTACGGTGATTCGTTTCCTACATAGAGATCTTTGGGCCGTTTTCACATACCGTTGGTAACCCTCCCCCTCCCTAAAAGACAACAACAACAAACAAACAAAATTAATAGAAAAAAGAGCAAAAACACAAATATTAAAAAAAAAAAATTGATTAACCTCGTAATATAAGATTAGCCTGCATGTGTAAAATAACTGATAGAATGAATAAAACAATAAAGGTAAGATAAAATAAAAGAAGCGCATTTGGAGTAACACATATATTAGGTGTTAAAGACATTCTTTGCATTTTCCATTCTCCACCGAAAACTTTATTAACAAGCTAGGCCAATTAAGCCAATTAAATGCCTGCCCCCCCCCCCCCCTTCGGCATTTCTATATACAGAAGAAGCTTAGGGTGATTCATTTTTTCCTCCCCCTTTCCAAAACAATTTTTTCTGTATATAGGCCTAGGCCTACATTGTTTTTAACCTAAATTACTGAGCCTTTTTTTTTATTTTTCAAAGTGACCCAGTAACATTGTTGAGGGTTGATGAAAAAATTGCCTAATTTTTGTATGAAATTTTACTAATTATATTCCTTCTAATGTACTAACCCTCTAATATGCACACAATTCTGAAAAAGTTCTCAAACCACAAAGATATCTATGGTTTTTTGTGAAACTGTCACCACCCCCCCCCCCCCCTCTAACAGTGATTAACAGTAAATTCTCCCAACCATTTTTGAATTTTCCCAATCGTTTTTCTATGAGGAAAGACATAAAACAGGCTAACCTTTCAACAATGAAATGTCTGTATGATTTATAGAGCCAATTCATTGCCTTGTGACGTTGTTGTTGTTGTTGGGTAATTGTTTATTGGCGTTCATTCAATGTTGAATATATACGCCATAATTATTTTTAATTTTATAAGGAAAATCAGTTATAAATAAGAAAACTGAGGATAAAGATTTGTAATGATATAATTAAAAAGTAACGCAATTTTTTAGGAGTCTCTGGATGGTTTGCAACTTCGTGTTTCTGCTTTTTTTTTAAAGTGACGATTTACATTCACCTAAAATATAATTAAATTTTACTAAGTAAATATAGTTAGGAAAATTAAGGAATCGATCAGATCAGTTTTTCCCAATTTGAATCATTAATAATGGTCCGTTTTCACTCAAATTTTCAGATTATCTTTAATTGTACATCGAGCATTGAAGTCACTACCTTAGCACCACTTTCTCTCATTCAGTTAAACAATGTTACCAAGTGCTATGTTTAAGTTGCAGAAAACCTGTCTTGGGTCGAGCGACGCCCAAATGTTTCCCCCATATCATTTTTGCCTCCTTTACAGCAGCAATACCAAGTGAATGACCTTTTGTTTATTTGTTTGTTTGAAATAATCTTAAAATTTTTAATCAAGAATTTTTTAGAATTTTAGGACTTGAAATCCAAGAATGGTAAATACTAAAATTCATTTTTTTTTTTGTTTTTTTTGGGCCCAATTCGTGAGGAAGTATGAAGCGTTGAATCATCCAGCCAGTGAATAAGCGGGGGGGGGGGGATAAGAGCGCAATTTTGTTTTCCCAATGAGATTCATTTGTATACAAATTCGTTTCTCCCTGGTGGTCCCTCTTCTTTTCTGACAAAACATGGGGGACCGTGATGCTCCCCCCCCCCGGCCCTTTCCACCTTTCTCGATGTTTTCTATTGTTATTTTATTTTAATTCATTTACCACCAGTCGATATAATATGCATGGGTCCGAATTAAGCAAATGCGATCTTTACGGGGACGAACTTGTTAGAAGGGTTCTGTAATTTCCGTCAATGTCCGGAATTTATAAAGTAGAGAAGAAAGGTAAACGAAAACGGAAATTAAATCGATCACAGCAACAAAAAATGAAACGAACAGAAACGAAGTATCATGTGAATATAATATCAATGAAAAATAATTATAATTTATGAAAGGTGAATTAACTACATTAATTATGTACACATACATTTATATTTGCACTTTTCGCGCGAGGCCTCATGGGAAAAATAATTATGTGTATAATGTGAAGATGGCGTCATCTGATGGTAAGAGTTTATTCTTATATTGGCCGAAATAAAGCCAAATTTCATTCAGTTTATACTTCATGCAGTAATTTTAATTTATATCAGTGATGTTTCTTATATTTGAGAGATTAGTGGTGTGAATTTTAAGAACGTAATTTTAATTAAATGATGCGGACGAACAGGGGATTTATCAGGCTCGTTCCATTGACCGTTATTTTTTGTGCGCCATCCTCGTACGCCGAGCTCCCAGCTTGCAGGAATGCAAACGCGGCCCGCGCCTGGGGTTCCTCGAGGCTTGATGCACGCCTTTCCGTGGTCGCATAATTGGTGGAGTACCGGTGGTGGAATTGCTATAGCTGGCCATTGAGCACGCGAAATCCCCAAGCAAAGGGGACACAGTAGCAGCACTTATACTTCAAAGAAAATGTCCTCATTTAAAGTAATATTTAGATCTAATTAGGCCCCTAATTAATTTTTAATAATTTAACACTAATTAGTCTAGAAATCTAAGTAGACTCTAGTACTCTCTAGATCTAATTTCTAAAAGGTATTTTGGTAAACCGTTCAGGCGTTCATTTTCAACTGTCAAGGCTCAACTCAGCTCAAGCGAATCAGTAAATTCAACTTTAATTAAAGTAATTGCAAATGCAAGCATGCAACAATTGCAAGGAAGTTAAATTTCTTGAAACTTGAAGTCTTGAACTAATGACGAAAAATCAAAGAAAATCAGAAGGAATTTAAGGTCTGACTCTGACTTGTCGGAATTGATTGGAATTTAATTTTTGAATGCCTAGCGGCCCTAGGTCTACTTCACTCTTCACAGAATTCAGAAGTTCAGGCTTTGCCCCATTTGCTGAAAATACAATTTTAAACAAATTCATTGTCATTAAAATTTGATTTGATTTGGGAGACCCTGCAATTGCATATCTAATTTAATTAGGCCATCTTTCATACAGACTGAGCTCACATAAAGCAAAAAAAAAAAAAGGATAATCCTGCACAATGATGCAGTAACAACACAACACCAACAGAATGACAATAACAAGAGCTCTGGAGTCTGAGTCTAGTTTTTATGATAAAATATAATCTAATAATTGGGGTTGAAAGGCCTTGTGAATAGTCATATTGTTTTCTTTGGAAGAAAATTGAAATTTGCCCTGTCCTTTTTTGCGGGGGGGGGGGGGGGGGGGGGGTTAGGTACAAACAAAAGAAATAAAAATCTTTTTCCAAAGGAAATCACAGAGGTACTGGTACTAATTTCTGTTTGGTTGACCATAAATTTTACTTAATGGCTTTGCTATATCCTTTAAATGGATTTTCCACAAATTTTACCATTGAGTTTCCAAATTCTTATTTTTCTATGGCCAAGTGAAAACCAGGGTGCCCCCCCCCCCTGAAAAATCAAATCTTCAGTTCTTGAGGGTTTAGTTACAAATATAAACTTAAATGAGTGGTGGACCCTGACCATGACCCCTTGATCTATTCTACTTTACTTAGTCCTATCTATTCCTGTACTAGAGAGAGCCTATAATGACGTGTACTTTCAAAGTTCCAAGGGATTGTTTATTATTATCTGCCTGATATATTGATTAACTTAATTTTAATGAATAATATGATCCTCATTGTTTGTCTGCAATACAGATGCGAGTGTGAAGGTTTATGCCAGGCAAGATCTCGGCCAGGGACATCGCTATGGACCATTCAAGGCCAAGCTGTCGGACATTGGACCTGATGAAGAAGTGGAGATGGGCCAGTGGAAGGTGAGAACTGAGAAGGAGAAGAAAAAAGTGTTTTCAGATGTGGTATTCTTGCCCAGAAGCCACAATCATTGAGTTATCAGTTGCTTAAAGCCAGAAGGATGTTAACTCTGTGTTAGAGTATAAAAGTTAATGATCTTCCGGCACCTAGCAGATGATTTCATGGTCGTATTATGTCTTCGCAACAAAAAGATACATGGACTAGATGACCTCGATTCCAACTCTTGTAGTCTTGAGTCTGATGTAAATCGATTGTATACTTATCTCTTTCAAACATTTTCATGACAAAATAAATCCATGTAACATTATAAGTTAAAGACCGTCAACACTACTGGGCCAGAAGGGATTAGACCACACAGCAAGGTCACTGACAGGTGGCTATCTCATTAACTCAGCTCTCAACTAACATAAGAAAAAGAGGATCATGGGGGACCAACAAGCACCTATTGGCAAAGTTTTCTATATAGAGGGAGCAAATAGCTACAAGTAGGACAGTGGGGCTTTAAAACTTGCAGATTAATCTTTTACATGTCTGGGGATTTAGTAGATGGATGCACATTTACTGAGTGCAGTTAACGTTTGGAAGTTATTTACTGGACATTTTTTTTCTTCTTCTGTTGAACGAACATGGAGGTGGTGTAGTAAAATTTCAAAGTGTTGTGTTCATGCCTGATATGGGTGCATTTTTGTTCATGTTTATAGAGAGAGGGGAATCAGTGCTTAAGAACCTACACAAAACTTATCTAAGTCCTCTCATCGATCTGTTCATTCTGTTTGTACACTGACACTGATAAATGGACGGATGGACAATTTCATTATTAGTAAATACATTGGGTGGTATTCCGGTAGCGCGTACTAAGTTAGCGCTTACTTAGTTAGTTCACACTTCTATGGAGTGCCTGTTGCAAAATAATTTACCCTGTACAGATTATTTTAATCCTTCAATGAAAAGTGTTCAAAAAATTAATTTTGCAATGAAATGGGAAGAAAAAGATAATATGAGTATGAACTGAATTTCAACAAAGTTTTTGGTAGATTATCTTTTTCATGAATATTGAAGGAGGAAGATGAAACCTAGCATTCCATAGAAGTGTGAACTAAAATTCTTGTTTAGTCTGGACTTAGTCCCGGCTTAACTTATGAGAATACCACCCATTGTGTTTTTCTTTTTTTGTACTAGATTTTTGCCAACGATGGAAAGAAGTGCCACCAGTTGGAAAGCAATGATTTCTCCATCCCAGGCTGGCTGAGATTCGTTAAGACTACAACAGACAAAGATGAACAAACCCTTACCCTCATCCAGCAGGGGAAGGTCTACTTCTTTGAGGTCAGTGATATAAATCAAAAGAGAACTAGGTTTCTTGACCATTGCTCTATAGGCTGAGATTAAGGCTAGCAATTGGGTTTTACGTTAAGATCTGGGTTAGGGTTAGGTATAGTAGTGTTGGGTCATGGGTTAAACTTAGAAATTAAACTGGAGGAAGTTCTGGAGGAAGTTCTTGAGCACTTGACGGTGGTGCATATATGTCGTAGAATCAAGAAGAATATTTCCTTAATTTGTTACATTTTTCTTGTGTTGCATAGTAGAGGTTATGTAGCTGGCCTATTTTATCACTTTGTAACTTTTTATGACTAGAAAAAGAAAAGAAAACAGGAGATTCAGGGACTTCATGATGCATGTTCCAACAATAATTGCTCTGCAGGCAATACCTAAAACTATTGTCCACCCAGGACGTAAACCTCCAGGCTCCATGTAATTGCTACCCAAGCCTAATCATGTATCATTCAAATGTCTCATGGGCACAAAAGCCACAACAAACAGCAAAGGCGTGGCTTAAATTGCCAAAGCTTTTTCATCTTAGAAGGGTATGAGGCCAGTGAACTCTAGTGTAAACTTGTACAATTTGTGTGTGGTGTAACAAGAACCCTTCTTCACTGAATCTCATTCAGGGAAAAAAATATTTAAACAATTTCAGGGGCTACTTTTCAAGCTTGCTTGCATGAAAATAACACTCTTTAATTTGTTTTGTATTGAACTCTGTGCAAACTTTTTAGGGCTCTTTTATGACTTTCGGGGGCTAATTTGCCCTGAGCCCCAGTGTATTTTTTCCCTCATTTATTCTCATTCAAACTGATTTGATTGACAGGTAACCATAGATGTCAAGAAGGGGATGGAGCATGGCCTGTTGGGGATCAAGGATGAGGAGCCCCCTCCCCCACCCCCTCCTGACCCAAACAAGAAAAAGAGAGGACGTCCTCGCAAGATCAAACTCTCTCCGGAAGAGCAGGCAGAGGTCGATGCAGAAAACAGAAGAAAGCTTGAAGAAGCCAGGGCTAAGAAAGTATGTCACATTTATCAATTTTTTTGCTGTGCTTTTAGAATTGTTACAGGTTCTTGATTTGTGTGTTTTTACCTGATGTTTATTTATAGATAAATGTTAATCATAGTTTGGGTTAGCTGATTGAATAGTAAGGTCGATGTCGGGTACATTGGGCACTATAACTATCTATCTTGTGGCAGATTAGCCTTTTGCTGAATAAGTTATCCAATAAACTCTACCACTACTACTACTACTAAGTTTTGATGATAAATCAGAGACATTTTCGTATTGTTTGGAATGCCGGTACATTAAAAAGAATATTGTAACTCTGTTAATTTGAATTTCAAGGAGTAGAAGTTATGATTACAGCTTATTTACACTCAGAAAATAGAATACATATAAATCATTATTTGTATGTGTGTGAATATCTCTGCACAGGCCCAAATTCTTCTAGAACAAGCAGCTGACGGTAGCAGCAGCCTCACTCCAGGACGCAGCAGAAAGTGTGTTGTCTGTGGGCAGAGGTTTGTTAATTCGGTCATCTTCATGAAGCACAGGAGGGCATGTGGAGTCATCAAAGAGGTCTTAGGAGAGAAGCTTGATGATGAGGAAGACGACGAGGAGGAGGAGGAAGGTGATGATGCAGCTGAGGGAGAAACGGCAGAGGATTCCATGGACGGGATTGAGATGCCGGAGGGCACCGAGATGTCTAGCCTTGCAGAGAATCTCGCTGACGGCCGGGAGGAGGGAGAGGTGAGCATCTTAGACGTGGCTCGGGAGGGAGAAGAGGAGGGGGAGACGTTAGCAACCTTGACAGATGAAGCGACACCTCAATCGACAAATGAATGGCTTGTTCCGGCGCCAAAGAGACCACGAGGACGTCCACGAAAGGACGGGCAACCGCCCATCCCTCGCAAGAAGCGCAGGGGCAGGAAGAAGCGGCGTCGCTATAACGATGATGATGATGACTTCAACGCTCGCACCGTGCGCCAGTCGTCTGCTCCCCCTCCTCCTGAGTGCACGGCCACGCTCTTCGACCCTGAGAAGTACCCCTTCACCTGCGAGACCTGCAATAATCACTTCCCCACGCAGACATGGTTTGAGCTACACTGCCTGCAGCATGAGGATTCTAAACTGCAGTACCTGATCTGTAATAAATGCGATGAGGCCTTCAGGTATCTCATGACCTACAACACTCATATGACTGAGGTTCATGCAGGCATGAGCAAAAGAGAACAAACTATGTCGGAGAAGTTCAGATGTGATGTGTGTAAGAGAGCCTTCAGGTCACCCATACATCTTGAAAGGCACATCAGAAAGGCTAACAATGCAGGTAATTATATCCTCTATTTGTACTCTTTTTTCCCATGTGAAGGACCATTATGACCTCCTATACAATAACTGGCCAGCCTTTGATAAAAAAAAGTAGAAGATACATGTAGTATATCCAAAGAAGTGAAAGAACATGTTCCAATGGAGACTCCCAAATACAAATGTACTTTCAATGTTTTGTAAACTTCTACTTTCTACACATTTGATGTACAGTTGTACTGTATATGAATTCACTCTATATTAATTTCATTAGTCATGATATTGATTAAAGGGTGCAGTATTCACAGAGATGCCAACAAGTACGATTAAATTGTATCTCGTACGATAATAAGAGTGAAATACGATAATACGATTTCACCTCTCTTAAAATACAATTTAAAAAAAAAAAATTAAAATTGTTTCTTAAAGGTAAAGACCAGTATTGGTAACGCCCCAATTTCAAAAAATGAAATGGAAGCTCTCATTACCAATCATGTGAAAGAATATGTTTTGACTAATACATGATGATACAAAATTTGCCGGGAAACCGCCTGCTAATTCATATATTTGGTAAATTTATCTCTCTCATGGTCGTGTGAGAGAGATAGGGTAGTCCCATATACATCTTTCTGTGTATAGTGCTTGTAACTTTACGAAGAATGGGCCAAATTTCTTATCATTTTGATGATTCCAGAACCTTGCAGATGCTAGATGCTAGATGATCAACCTTTTCTGATCGATTCCACAACGTTTCTTTCACAATGCAATCGCATGACCATTACTGGTCTTTACCTTTAAATAGTTAAATTTATATTTTAAAACCCATCAAAACAGCGGAATCGCATAGAAACATGTACACGTAAACCCCCGCAACGCCCCAAAAACCCAAAAAACTTTGCTTTACAATTTTCTCATTAAATTTGAATGAAAGAGCAAACATTTTACTTGACCTAACTTACCAGTAAAACATTTTTCTGAAATTTTACTGGTCCGTCGGCCCCGAGTTGAGTTTTCGTGAAAATCTGATTTCTCTCTAAAATCTTTTTTTTTTTTAGGATACTCAGTCTGTTTTTTTGTGTCAAGAGGTTGGCATCTCTGTATTCACCTCTTACTGAGAAATTCTAAATACTCCATTGAAATGCCCTTGCCCTTTGTGTTTTGACTGTCTTCTAAGTTTCATTTCCCAATTTAATCTCAAACCCATTTGAGGTCAGACATATAAAATTGTTGCACTCCTCAAGAGCTGTTTCTGTACCTTTGTAAGAATTCTCATAAATATTAATTATCTCACATATGAAATGAATCTATAGCAAAATGTCAGTTCTGCAATAAATCACACTCATTTTCCTTTAACACAGAGCCTCCTCCTAAAGGCCCAGTGCAAGTGAAGTGTAAGTTCTGTGAGAAGACATTCACGATGGAGCAAGGTTTAGAGAACCATACAATGAGGGCTCATCCTGAATTCAACAGATATCAGTGCACTGCGGATGATTGTCTTGAGACCTTCTGCACCAAGGGTAAATCGTTCATCATTTATTCACAGATTTACATTATATATTTATCAATCTGTGTATCTATCTATTTATTTATTTATCTATCCAGTTACTTCCTTCTTACTTATTTCTGATATCAATATAGGGTAGGACATTTTCACCAATAGCGGTGGTCTTTCATAAGGCCCCCAAATAATCCGAAAATATATTTTAGTCATCTGTACACAACCGTGCAATTCTTTTTAAGATTTATCTAAAGTATACTCATAATGTATCCCAAATTTTCCTATAAACCCATGTATTTCTTCCTGCAAAGCTTCTCTTATACAGAGAATTCTTTATGTGAAAGGGTCCATTGTGTAAGGGTGTTTTTGTAATTTTCCTCATGACATTCTCTTTGCTTTGTTGACAGAGGATCGAGCGACGCATCTAGAAGGTATCCATGGTTTAGATCCATGCCATATCTACAAGTGTCCTGTCACTGGATGTAACAAGGCATACACCACTGTGGCTTCTCTCAACTACCACTATGCACTCAGGCATACACTAGAAAAGTAAGCATTATTTCAAGTTCATTTATTTACACTCATCATTAAAAATACAGAATATATACAATCATCACATTTACAAATACAGAATAAACATAAATAAATATCATACATCCAAACAAAAAACATAATATTTGAGTGAAGGAATGAGGTAAGAAAGGAGTATAGTCCTTATACAAGAGTACATCCATCATATAATATTAATAATATTCTAATTAAACACATACTATTGGAAGCATGAACATTAAAAAAACAAGGTGGAGGGTAAAGAGCCTGCTGAGTTATTACACATAAGATTCAATTGAATACATTTTGTATTTTCGTTTAAAAGTTTGAAGACTTTTACAAAAAAAATTATTTATGGAAATGGAATTCCAAATTGTTGAACTATCTTAAAATTATCCTGTAAATGATGAAGCTTGTACACAAAAAGCACTAATACCTTTGCCCAAGATGCAGGTCTGCATACTAGTAATATACACAGACAAAGCAATATAGTAAGATTTTAGATGTCTAATGGGGCTTGCAAAAAGTTGCGATTGATTGCAAGCTGCAAAATTTGCAACTGATATTTGCAATCGATTGCAACTCAACTTTCTTGCAGCGCCCCCAAACTAGTCTCCTAAATTTCCTAGAATTTTGTTAGAATTAAAGTTTTAACAATTAAATCAAGTTGACTAGATCCCCTCTCTCTCGCTCTCTCTCTCTCTCTCTCTCTCTCTCTCTCTCCTTCTCTCTCTCTCTCTCTCTTACTAATGGGGCGTTGCAAAAAAGTTGAGTTGAGTTGCGTTTGATTTGGGGGATTTTCAATGGATTGCAACTCTCTCGCAATGCCCCATAAGCTGTGAATAATTGTGCCAGTTACTTTTTTGCATCATCAAGGAATGGTTTAATGTTAAAGTTCATGCCAGGGTATGGTTTATTCCCTTCATCAGTTATACATTGATCATGATGTCATAAGCCTAAGGTATTGTGTGAAAAGGAAATCTTTCTTGACACATGTAAGCAAAGTGAACATCAAATTTGGGCAACTGAAAACATAAAATATAGTAGAACACAACAACCAAAACAAAATATACACATCTTGATCTAGAATGAGTAGCAAGATAAATTTGAAGGACTGAATCAGTGGCAATGTTGATAGCTTAAAGCCCCTCCGCACTAGTTTGGCAAAGAGGGATTAGACCTCCCTGCAAGGTCACTGGCAGGTGGTTATCTCATCAAATCGGCTCTCAAATAACATAATAAAAAGAGCATCATGGGGGATCAACGGGTACTGCTTAGGCATTGTTTGCTGTATAGAGGGCACAAGTAACTTTAAGTAGTACAGTGGGGCTTTTAAAAAGTGGGATGGCAAGAAGAAAAGAAATGGTGTTAACCTTTATAAGAAGTCAAGGCTGATCTCCCATGAAAATGCGATAACACTATTATCTTTATTGCTGGGTTTTATCTTTCAGGCCTTTTGCGTGTGAGATATGCGGCAAGACATGGGTGAAGATCGGCAGACTGAGGGAGCACATGAAGACGCACAGCACGGAGAAGAACGAGCTCTGTGACGAGTGTGGACGTGCCTTCAAAACAAGACCGGAACTCAAAGATCACAAGCTAGAAGCACACACAGACAGTGAGTATGGTGGTTTAGAACTGGTTTGTCAAGGAGGTTTTCACATAGAGTACAGACATTTTGAAAACTGATGCCATTTTGTAACCCATGTATGGCTTTTTCCAAGTACACTAACTTTAGATTTCGTATAATTTAGTTAATAAATCAAAAAGTGTCATTGATAATTATCAGCTTGTTTGTTTGTTTCTCACTTTTTTTCTGTCTTTCCTTCTTTCTTTCTTCTTTTGAATGAAGTTGCAGTAAATGAGAAGTGAAAGTATGGATTTTTATTATTTGATCGCCTTGAGAATTCCTTCTTTCCTTTGATTCTGTAATCATATTTTCGATATTGAGTCAATTAATAATAATTTGAAGATTTTTTGGAAGTTTGTAAGGTGGATAAAATTGATAAAATATCCTAATTTTAGTATTTGTGTGTCAAAACATTTTGTGATATTATTTTTTTAAATTTTTTTTACTGTACATGTATGTATCATTCTTCGTATAACCCTTGACCTCTATTATTGTATTTCCTGCTGCCCATCTCTAGCCGGCAAGGAAAAGCTCATGTGTCGTTTCTGCCCAGCATCCTTCAGCAGACGAAGCTCGAGATCGTATCATGAACGCAAGCATCGTAACGAGACGCCCTACGTCTGCCCCAAGCCAGGCTGTAACAAGCGGTTTGTCGCTGTTATTGACTACAAGAGGCATTTGATCTACCACACAGGTATGTACATGTAATCAGTTGGGAGTAGACATAAGCAGGGCATACACATTCATTTGTCTGGGGCCCGTTGCATATAACCTATCATTAATGGTAACGTTGCCATCAATAGTAACTTCCATGGAAACCTGGATTTGATTAGCTGTTGGGTGATTTTGCCATGGTAGTTACCATTAATGGCAAAGTCACCATCGATGGTAGGTTTTATGCAACGGGCCCCTTGTAAAATAGGGGAACAGTAATTTCAATGGTATGGGAGAATGAAATTTATTTGGATATGGAATAAGTTCTTTCTTGTTTGTCGGTGCACAATTCACTTGTCTGACATGTGTAAGCAGCAAGGTAAATTGCAATTTTGTCTTACTGGATATACATTGTAGAGCTACAATTTTATAGCAATCATGGGAAGGATGGAATACATGGAGTGCATAATTGTTTACTTATATTCCCTTAACTGACTAGACAATTGAAAGATCTTCCTTCTATGTTATCAATGATAGAAAGGAGAAGAATGAAACAGCTCACTGCTCATGCTGAATATTAGTTGGCTGATACACAAGAAACTGCTATTAACCTGACCTATTTGTAAACATTTGAATGATCTTTACATGGAGGCCAACATGTACATGCTTATTTGATAATAATGATAATATGGTTATTTATATAGCGCCGGTATCCGTCAGGCTCTGACGCTCATGGCGCTTTACACATATTACCCTGGTCGTAGCCGAGCTGCCAAAGTAACTAGCGCTCAAGCATATCAGGTACCCATTTACACCTGGGTGGAGAGTGGCAAATGTAGATTAACGTCTTGCCAAAAGACATCAGTGCCACGGCGGGACTTGAACCCCGTATCTTGTGATCTGCAGTCAGGTGGCTTATCCACTAGTCCACAACACCTCATGTTCCATGAAGTGATGCTATGTAGAAGCTTATCTGCAGAATTAACAAAATAGTTTCACTTAATTTGTATCCATATCCAGGTGCCAAGCTGTACAGATGTCGCTACTGCAGCAACTGCTTCACCCGGAGTGACTACCTCAAGGGCCACGAGAAGCGTCACATCCTGCGGGGGGAACAGATCGACGCGGCGCCCCCTATAGAGGAGACGGTGACCATCAAGGTTCCGTGGCCGATGGAGAGAGCGGTCAAGATTCAGGGACAGAACGTGGTGGTGTCCATCGAACCCGACCCGACGCTAGCCGATGGGGACATTACGGCTGAAGCTCTGATTGCTCTGGATAACCTACAAAATGTGAGCTCTTCAATTAATTATTTTTATTTATTTTATTTCCAGGCAAGATGATAACAATACATAAAAAACATGACTATTCCGCTGCGAATATGTAAGTCTCCTTTCCATGATCTGGGCAAAATTAAAACATGTTGCATGTACAAATGAAGGAGAAGTGGAATGAACAGAGGATTGCAACAAAGGATCCTAAGCATATTCATTTACCTGTGTATTATAAAAAAAAGTGCAACACATGCTTCCAACATTCGCCGCAGCAGTTACCGCTTTTTAGATAGTTTACTGCATCGCGTATGAACGAGGCTGTACATTTGGGAGATTTAGTTGGACAGCTTTTCATTTCCTAGAGTTTATTTGTTGTTACCTGTAGTACACTCTATAAGTGAAAATGCCTTCATACATGTACGAGAATAAAGATACAAAATAAAGGATTAAAAAGATTGATCACTCTATACCTACCCAAGTAACAGAATAGATTGGTAGGTTTTCTTTGGGAACAAATAATTGGAGATATGCAATGTGTAATTGATACAAGTACTATGCAGGCCTGATAATTACCTGATTTTTTTTTTAAAAATCCAGATTTTTTTCTCCCAATTTTATCCTTATTTTCCTAATTTTTCCCCTTATTTTCTCTATTCTTCCTTATGTTTCCCTTTTTTTTTCCCCATTTTTCCCCCAATTTTCCCCAATTTTCTTACTCAACAGAGGGGAATGATGTTAGATGCCATTTTTTTACCCCCGAATCCTCTTTTCTTTCTTTTTTACTCAAGGGATTTTTTTTTTTCTTCAGTGCTCACTATCACCCCTGATTATGATTCCTTCTGTTTAATTATTTGTTCATCGATGGTGTAGGTGCCTGTTGAAATCACTGCAGATGAAACACAAGTTGTTCATACGACTGATGCAGGAGACATTGTCCAGCAAGCAGCTCAACAGGTTAGTCTCGCTTCTTATGTAAGCACTCAAAGTTATTTTTAATGGACACATACTTTAAAGGTAAAGATCAGTTGTGGAAACGCCCCCCCTCTCAAAAAATGAAATGGAAGCTCTTATTACCAATCAAGTGAAAGAATATGTTTTGACTAATACGTGATGATACAAATTTTGCCCGAGAAACCGCCTACTAATTGATATATTTGGTAAATTATTATATCTATTTGGACCTGATAAATATTGCGCACGTGTTGCGTAGTCCCATATACATCTTTCTGTGTACAGTGCTTGTAACTTTACCAAGATTGGGCCAAATTTCTTATCATTTTGATGATTCCAGAACCTTGCAGTACACACCAATACTTATATGCTAGATGATCAACCTTTTCTGATTGATTCCACAACGTTTCTTTCACAATGCAATAGGATGACCATAACTGGTCTTTATCTTTAAGCTTCTAAGAACTAACTAAGCCAAAGGATACTTCACAGTTTATTGTTTTAGTTACTATTGTTTAAGCTTATACAAACCTTGAAATTAGTAGCCAAGCTTTAACCTGCTCATTTGGACTTTCTCAAGCCAAATAATCCTTCTCAAACTTCCTTGATATTAACCCCAACTAAGTAAAGTTTTTCTCTATCTTGATTTTCTTGAAGTAAATGATTTGTTATAATTTGTAAAATTAGTAAAGATTACAACTCCATGGAATTCACATACACCCAGAATCACAAACACAAATATGCATATCATTCCCTTTATTTGCTAAATAGTCAGTTATTGTAGCATTCTGTGATCCTTTTTAGGCAAATATCATTTTACTACTACTACCTTAAAAAATGACTCTGTAACATTTCCTCAGATTCTGAAACAAAATCCTGGATTTAGCTCATGTTGAAATCATAGTTATAAACCTTCAGGTCAGTCAGGAATCCCATGACTTTTACAAGCAATTGCCTGTCTGATTATCAAGATATTTATGATTGGAAATAAAAATCAAATTTTCTGTTTTCCTAACGGTTTTTATAACACTACAGTCTATTGGAGAAAATTTGTATGGTAAAACCGGTCACTCAAAGATTTTTACTTTTTTGAGGCAATTCATGATCATTTTGAGGCGCAATTTGGGCCTTCAATATTACACCATATCACAGACACTGATAACACGTAGGGCCTTGCATCTCAGATTTAACATTGTTAAAGGTACTATGTCCCATTTGCAGGCCAAAAAAATGAAAAAGTTAAATTCCAACTGCATTTGAAAGATAATACTAATTTAGAACTTCCCTAAAAAAGGTGGGGCTTGAAAATGTTTTCAAGTGGGAAAATAACGACTATTAGTTGTCAAGTCGACTTTAGGGCTATAGAGCCCAAAAGTAATAGTCTTGATTTTCAGACAATTGTACCGAATGGTCATACGTTTTATGCTGCGCAAAGATTCAATCAGTTTAATCTTGGCCATCACAAGAAGTGAGTTATTGATGTAGACAAATGCTCATGTACCCTTTACAACTCTTTTCATGTATGTTATTACCAAAGAAGAAAAAAGCCAGTCAATCACTCAATAGTGTCTGACAGTGAAGTCTAGCAAGTAAACGGGTTTCCTTGCATAATTTGAATATGAGGACACTGCTAACGTTTAAATTTTACAGATAGGACATACATGACATATTCATAATTCCTGCAAAGTTCTACAGAATTTGAGGTTGGCTGCAAAAGGGACATAGTACCTTTAAACGATGCCTTTAAGATGTGAATTGATGTTTTTTCACCCTTGCAGGCTATGTCTAATGAGATGCAAGCCGGTACCCAGTATCTCCAGCTGGCCGACGGCACCACCTTCGCTACCAACTCGGCCTCGGCAGCCATCCAGGAGGCCGTTGCCCAGGCCCAAGCTCAGGCAGCAGGCATGCAGGGAGAGGGTACAGAGCAGGGCAACGTGCTGATGGGCGGCGCTACAGAGATCACGATGGAGGGGGCCACCAGTGAACAGGCCGCCCTCGTGCTGCAGCAGCTAGCCGCAGAGAATGCACAGGTATTTGAAAGTTTCTCAAACTAGTAGGCTGAATGGGATGGGTAGAGAGGGGGTTTGATAACATGGATTACAGAACGTTGTATAGATGTGTTTTTTTTTGTCACACTATTTTCTATGCATAATTTTTGAAATGCTTTGCGAAAATTTTGAATGGTCGATATAACTCCACATACCCTAAAGGCAATGCCCAGTTCTAATCTTTTCCGGGGAGTTTTTAGTTGGTATTACATGTATCTCTTGTTTACCATAAAATTCACACAAATTTATATTTTCAGCCTACACAAGGGACACACCACCTTTAATGGGGCTAAGAGATTGTAGCAGAATTCCGCCCCTATTTAGGCCTTTTAATTTTACATTCCTTTTCAAGCAAGACCTTGGATGATATTAATTGTCAACCTTAAAAACTTTATTCATTTTCTTCACTATGTAGAAGGCTTAAATCTTGTTCATGATTAACTGACTCTTTCATAATAGGAGAAATAAATCCATGCAAAATAGATTAAAACTGATGCTGTGTTTATGCACGTGCCCATCATCTGTTGAGCTGATGATCCCTGAATATTACAGTGGATGACTTTATAAACCTAATTGTGCAGTTCTGGGCCCCAACTTATAAAGAGTTACGATTGATCCAAATCAATCTTACGACCTCCAATCAATCGCAAATTGCAGTCTCCTATCTCTTATGTACATAGCTGCGATTGATATCAATGGCAGATAAGTTGTGATTGATATCAACTCTTTATAAGACGGACCCTGATGTGTGGAATAAATGTAGTTGACAAAATGTTTTCTTAACTGTACCCTCGCAGGTCATCTTGCATCCGTCCGGTCAAGAGGGCCTCTCCACCATGCAGGCCACGCTGCAAAACGAGAACGGAGAAACGAGCATGGTGGTGATCAACCTGGCGACCCAGCCGGACGGTTCCGTCCACGCCATCTCCGAGGAGGAGGCCCACCAACTGGCCCTCCAGGCCGCCGCCAACGGGGGGACCCTCACCACCGAAGACGGAAGCATGATCATCACCACCACGGCCGGTGGACTCCAGGACTCGCAGGGGAATCAGATCACCCTATCGGCCAGCGGCGGGGACGAGGTGGTGGACACCGGTCAAACGGTGTCCATGGTGATGTCCGACGGCACCATACACACGGAAGATGGTCAAGAGATGATGCTGGTGGTCCAGGAAGAGGAGGAGACTACGTCGTCAGAGAACATCACCAATATACAAGTAGAGGTCATGGAACAAGAATAAGGGCATCCAAATTCCAAAGTTGTTTCCATTTTCGGATATCATCAGGGGCTCTGCTATCTTATTTGTCAGTACACAGTCATAATTGTTAATTGTCGTAGTGAATTGAAATTGAATAACCAGGTGAGTTTTTCACAAAGACTAAGATCGACTTTTAGTTGAACTCAAGTATGGCAGGCCGTTCATGCCACTGTTTGCTCTCACCATTATGATCGTTATTATTGGTGCTTGTGCAGATGCCTGTCTTTACTACGCACACATACATGTACTGCGTCACAGCCAGTTTTGCACAGAGGATTAATCAGAGACTTGTGATTTACTTTTCTTGTGACAATCAACATACCTACCACTAGCATTAATGATATTGTTTTCAGAATACCATCCCAAACTATGCCAGGATGAGGAGAAAGATTTGAACTTTATGGATCTTATTTATTGTTGCTTGCAGAGGAATTGCTTTCAGGTTTTGATGAGTGAAATGCTAAGATCAGTCAGTGATTTGACGAAGTTTTGCAGATGGTTCTTCAGATAATTTTCTCTCTTAAATACTTGTTCTCTGCTGTAGCAAAAAATCATAATATTTTGGTGATGTTACTTATGATAAAAGCTTAACAGACTAATTAAGCACAAATACATTCAAACCTGTCTATAGCGACTGCCCAAGGGAAACACAAAAAGTGGTCTTTGTAGACAGGTTCCTTTAGTACATATTTCAATGAGAAACCATTTGGGGCCAGTCACCACGAAATGAGTCCAGTGTTGCATTAGGCTCAATCGTAGTAATAGCGATGTATAGTGTGTATGTACTGAAAATTGACCCACCTACCACATTTGAGATTTTTCCAAAAATCGACTTATTATTTCTTTGTTTGTTGAAAGTTTCATTGAAATCAAAAGATGGGAAGTGTGTTGTTGCTATGTTGTTGTTGACCAGACTATAATATGTTACGCATCATTAACTTTACACCTAATTATCTCAAAACTGGGTAATCCCATTGATATAAAGTCCAATTAGGTTTTTGTTCATATTTCTGGATATAATTTATCAATTTTAATGTGTGACCCCTTAATTTAAAGCTTACTTAATGTAGATTCATATAATACTTAAAAACAGGAATAAAATTTTTGACCAACTGGACTCATTTCGTGGTGACAGGCCCCATTTTTAAGGGAAACAAAAAATGTGGTCTTTGTAGACAGGTGGTCACTAAAGCAGGTTTGACTGTATTTAGATTCCCATGAAAAAGGACAGCCATAAAAAATTACCCCATCCACCAATTCCTGCCAAGATGTCACAAAAAATTATTTTGTTAAAAATGTTGCTTCCGTGCTTCAATGATGTTTCTTTCGCTGCCCAGCACAATGGACTTATTTTTGTTATGTCACTTCGTACTAGATATTAAGTAGTACCATAAATAATACTCAGGAGTTTGAGAAATGTAGGATATATTAGGCTTCCTACTACATTGGTCATTTGCAGCATGAATTCTTTGGTGCTTGTTCTCTTCAAGGTAATATATTTCAGTATAAAAAATTGTTGGTATGTACCCCCACATATAAGTTATTTTATAAATAACCTGCATAAACTGTCTATAAATCTGTATATTATGTAGATAGTATGGAATGATGTAAATATAAATAAATTTGCTTTTCACATTCCAAAGTTGATATCAATCAATTATGATGTTTTCTGAATATATGTTTGGGTGTTTGCTGATAGTGATTTCCCCCTCTCTCCTTTTCTCCATCTCTGGCATTATATTTAAAAGCAAACTTTGTTTGATTTATTTTGTTTGTTCTCATTCTTTACGTTTCTTGATTTTGTTCTTTATTTATTCAGCAGGCCAATTCTGTTTAGAGCCAGAAGCATATTAATTATTAAATCATAAACTTTAAACGCAGAGTTAAAGCCCTTCTGGCTCCAGACAGAGTTTTTCCTGTTATGCCTTCCAGTCACAACCAAGTACATTTAAAGCCCCTCTGCACTAGTTTAGCTAGGAGGGATTAGACCTCCCTGCAAGGTCACTGACAGGTGGTTATCTCATCAAATCAGCTCCAATTAAGATAAGAAAAAGGGGATCATGAGGGACTATATAGAGGGCGCAAGTAGCTACAAGTAGTACAGTGGGGCTTTAATTGCTAGACATAATCAAACAATTCCAGACATTAGACCGTGGTGCTTGAAGAAAAACCTCACCTAGGAATTAAAAAGTTTAAAGGGTTTGAAGGGCATTAAATTTTGTTTCTTTTTGAATGTTGGAGATGTGAAAATGATCAGGAAAGATCTTGAGTGGAAAGTACATAAAATATCGTAGTCTAAAATGCACCCCTCCTCCCCCTTTATCCACGCCAAACTTAAGTTATATGTATAAAATTCTCCTACTTGTAATTCATTCTGACGTTTGCTGAGCAAGTCTGTTTATTTTAAATTTTTGTTTTTCTTTATTTTCCTAAAAGGATGAATGTACTTTGCTAACAATAGAACAAACGAATGTGACATTGTAATGGCTTGCTATTCTGACTTAATAAGTTTGTTTTTGTTTTTTTTTTTCCTTTTCTTTTTCTTTTTCTTTTTCTTTTTTTCTTTTTTTTTTTTTTCTTTTTCTTTTTCTTTTTCTTTTTTTTTTCTTTTTTTTTCTTTCTTTTTCTTTTTCTTTTTTTTACAAAAGTGTGCTCGATGAGGTACATGTACTTCTCTGACTATCAGTGAGACTACTAATCATCTGCCCAAAGAAATGTTATTTGATTTTCTTTTGATTTGTCTTTGATTTCAATGATAAAATATTATACATGAATTGCTTTCTAACTGCACTTTCTGCTTTTATTTTGTATCGATTCATATTTTAAGACGTTATTTAATCTGGAAATAATTTGTATATTAAAAAAATGAATAAAGATATTCTATAGAGAGAGAGAGAGAGAGAGAAAGAGAGAGAATGAGAGAGAATGAGAAAGAGAGAGATAGAAGAAAGAGAGTGTAGAGATTGAGGTACCGAAAGGAGATTCTGAAAGGAGGGGGGGGGGGGTCGAAAATGCACTAGAACCTTGTGAAAATTGTTAAATCACATTTTGTTACATCAAGGCTTCAAACAAAAAGGGCGATAAGAAAAAACGAGAGAATACAAAAAACGGGATCGGGGAAATAAAACATCCCGATAGTCAGAACAGTGTTAGAACAGGAGACGATGTGGATCTAGAGAATAGAGAGTACGGCTAGGAGCATGACAGGGTTGAAATTATGAAGAGAGAGAGAAAGAGGGTTTTTTTTTTTTTTTGGGGGGGGGGGTAATGGATTGAGAGATAAAGAGTGATGGTCACTAAGAGAACCATGTGATACATTTAAGATGATTATGAGAAGAAGAAAAAATAGAAGAAAAATCAATTATGATGATAATAATCATGAAAATTATGATATTTATATTATAAGTCATCAGGGGCGGCGATTTCTTTTCATGACCGGAGGGGGGAGGACGAAATGCGAGGGACGGGGAGCAGCAGTGGCGTATAATGAGCAAAAAAAGGGGGGTTTGGGGAGGGGGGGAGAAGAAGAAAAATCTGCATACCCACTCTTACATGGTGCATGCAGGCCCCGTGGAACGTTTTTCAAAGTGGGGGGGGGGCTAAAGTATTTTCGATCAGGTAGAGCGAAGCAAGTGGAGCGTAAATTGGCCTGGGGTCCAGGGGCAAGGGGCGTAGCCCCATGGAGCTCAGGAGTTTTAGGCATTTAATAACGGTCAACTGAGCATCCAGGGGGCGGAGCCCACCGAAGCTCAGGGGTTTTAGGCATTTAACAACGGTTGGATGAGCATCCAGGTGACCACCTTAGAGCCCATGGTGGGGTCCAGGGGGCAGAGGCTCCGGAAGCTCAGGGAAAAAAACATGCCATTTCAGCAACATTTTAAATCACTGGTATCGAGTTAGAAATATTAGGGGGGCAACTATCCCAAACCCCCCCCCCCCCCATCATTGCACCAGGGTGAGGGAGCATAGTGAACGGAAGTATACCTTCCCCCTCACAGGTTTTAGAAATGTTGTTGTACATGTATTAACAAATTACATTTCTTAGCAAAACAATGGTATAAAAACAACAAATATACCTTTTTCACACTACACTCCCCCGTCCCCCCCCCCCGAAATCGCCGCCCCTGACAGTCATTATAATTATGACTTAAACGTATGGTACTATACAAGAGAGGCGTAGCACTAGTATGACCCTGCGCAGGGGCGGCAATCCCGGGGGGGGGGGGGACACGTCCCCCCTCAAATTTTTTTTTTTGGGGGGGATCGTCCCCCTGGAAATTTGAAAAAGTGCAAAACAAATTGTATAGCATATACTGAATAATGACTGCAACACACTTTTAGGCTCCGGAAGGCCCAAGAGTGCAGCGTTTAGACTAATAAAATTGCAAAAATGACGCCTGGCTGGAATGCTCCCCAGGGAGTGGAGAATGTGCATACATTGTGTGCGGGTAAGCCTTGAATCCAATGACTGGGGTAATAGTATATATATCTGTAAGGCGCTTTGATAGGGCCCTCCTGAAAAAGCGCCATATAAGAAATAGTTATTATTATTATTATTATTATTTTTTAAATCTCGCTCGGTCGCTACGCTCCCTCGCATAACATCCTTGTAAAAAATTTCGCATTTCGTCCCCCCCCCGGTCAATAACAGAAATCGCCGCCCCTGACCCTGCGACATACATGCACAATTCGGCTTTTTTTAAAAAATACTGCAAGGGATATAATGTATTGGTGGAAGGTTCGCATTTTACCCTTTTTCCACTTTCTCACAAATCTGCTTTTAAACGAAACATTACTCGCTAAATCGGTTGACAATATCCATTTATGTAGGTCTAATGACGTCCTTTAACCAAATTCAAAGCAATGCAATGTTGTTGGGGGAATTCGTCGCAGACACGGTAATGGAGGATGACAATAGTTTAAGTGTTTTATTTTTCTTCTTGTGGCAATTTATGGTAATGGATAGAGGCAAAGCGACCCAAGACCTATGGAAGTGAGGGAGGAGGATGAGAGAGAGAGAGAGAGAGAGAGAGAGAGAGAGAGAGAGAGAGAGAGAGAGAGAGAGGGGGGGGAGAGAGAGAGAAAAGAGTTGGGGCTAGAGAGGGGGAGAGAGAGAGAGAGAGAGAGAGAGAGAGAGGGGGTAGAGAAGAGAAAGGAGGAGAGGGGTAGCGAAATAAATAAGCTACTGTGAGGAAATGTAATACTCCAAAATTCTACATGCTAAACAAAGTACCAGA